TCAATCAAGCTTTTCTGGTAGGCCGCGCGTTTATTTCTTGTGTCTCTTTAATTCAATTTGTCCTGTGAGAATCAATTTTTCCAAGTTCTCTTTCTCAGTATATACCACATAAATTCCAACTGCTTCTTCTTGATGCATCATTTTTGTTGCCATTGTCTCCATAACTTCCCCATTGCTCACATGTTCAGTCCATGGTATTCTTAGTATCCTTCTCTAGAAACACATTTACAATTTCTCGAATAGCTTCTAGTTTGTTCTGCGTTCTTTCCATTAAAAAAAAGATACAAATGTAATGACTAATCTTACATTAGTATGTCAGATACCATAAGCGAGAGCTACTTGAACGAGGTTGTAAATGTTAGCGATGATGGCTCTCCACAATTCCCTGTTCTCGGTAGCTCTTAATAACTTTTGTATTTTTGCCTTTTCTCCGAAACCCTGCTCCGCTATCCATTCATTCAAGCTTGCCAGGTAGGTTATGCATTGCTTTTTTTTCCTGGCTTTCTTACATTCACCCTCTATTGTAAATATCAGATTTTCCAAGCCGCCTTTCCTCATTATGTTGCCTAGATACTTCAACTCTCTCTTCGTGATGTAAGTGTTCTTTTCGTTTTCCTTATCTCTAGAACGTCGTTGTTGCTCACATGTTCCGTCCATGATATTATCAGCATCTTTCTGTAGAACCACATTTTTGTTGCTTTAATTCTTTTCTTCATCTGTGAGAAGATTGTCCAATATCCACTGCCATATAGAAGGACGGATGATACGTAACAGTTCATTAGTCTTTTCTTTCTTTCTAACAAATATATTAGACACTTTTCTGTTTCTTAATTCTTTGCTTAGCTTCGGGAAGGCATCTTCGGTTATCCCAATGAGACTTCAGATTTCCGTTTCGCATTATCTGTCCTCTGTTAATACGCTTCGCAGATATCTAAATTGTTGCACCTTTTTGAGTTCGGTATATAAATTTTGTAACTTGCATTTTCCAACCATATATATTAGGTTTTACAATGACACACCCACATAGCCTCTTCATCTATCAAATAGTTAGCAAGCATACGTGATATTTGTTTATAACAGAAGATCTAATGTAATGTAGTGAATTGCATAAATATTTATTGCGATACATATATTTAAATTTATTTAATAATGTTACCATAACTTATGATTAATTTTTACACGCATAATATGCCAGTATTTCTTTTTATACGCGGGTGATATAAGAATGTCTATAGAAATCATAAACTGAATTTCCTATTAAAAATGCCGTAAAAAAGAAAAAACGGCGTTACCCCAAGAATATCCTTCTAATTTTTTATTATAAATATTCATTGAATTTTCGATAACCTAAGATTTAAAATTAAATTTTAAAAATGTAAAAGCTACCTTGAAGATTTTATTTTAGCTTTAATTGAAAGCTTCAGGATTAAATTTATTATTTCCAGTAAGTAAAATATTCTGGTGGATTTCAGATTGAAATTTTATAGACTGGCATGTCAAATAATTGCTCAATTTAAAAAAAAAATATTATAAGAAATTTTTAAATAATAAAAAAGATTTATTGGTTTTAAAAATTTTCCAAAATTAAATTACATATTTGTGACACGTTACTTCAGTAAAATTAGAAAATATAAAGTTAAATTAATCTGATTTGAAATAAATATTACTTATAGTATAAAAACAACATACAAGCATTTCTTAACGATGAGTCCCCTCTTTCTTTGATCTTTATTGATTTATCGAGAAGCTCTCAAGATTATGACAGCACTTATGGATGACCAGAAATGACATAAATGGCATATGTTTAGTTTTTACTATCTAGAAATTTTTACAAATTAAAATTTTTCAGCAATTATTTAATATTTCATGGACTTTTACTTAGGTTTCAAGAAGCTTTATGAAATTTGCATTTCGTCTCGAGGTTCTTAAGTTTACTAACTTAACCAACAAATTAATTAATTTAAGCATAACCCAAACTCAAATAAATACATAAGATAAAAATATTTAGTGAAAAAGCAATTAATAAATGTAAAACTTTTGGGGATATTTTGAAGGGATGATTTGCAAAGACGTTAATGATGAAGCAAAACTGAATATTAAAAGTGAAATAATTTCACTTAAATCACGTGATACGTAGAAATAAGGAACGTTTTTTTGCTAAAATTATTTTAATTTTTTTTTAAATATTTGGGTACAGACGACTATTAAGAGCTTTTCAAATTTTGATTCGTAAAAGTACTTTTCACTTAAATATATCAAAAAACCGGCGCCTTGATTCAAGAAAGAATATTAAACGGCTTTTCAATTATTATATTATTATAATTAAAATTTAAAAGAAATGAAAACATTCTTGTAAAAATCATTATTCATCGAAAAAATTGTTTTTCTTCAGACAATAATGTCCTTAATATAACTTATTTACAAAAGCAATTGAAAGCTTTTCTAATTATATAATATCATAGTTTTATTGCATTTTTCATTTTACAATTCAGAGCAGATT